CACCTCTTTCAAGCTAATTTTTATTTCGTAAGTACTCTCAATTAATGTTCGAAGTTCTACCCTATTTTTTTTAATAATTTCTTAATTAATGCTCATAATTTAATAACAGATACTCACTCCGGACTATTCTATAAAAATTAATAAGTGTTTTTTCATAAACCAAAGAAAACAGATAAAAACAATCAATATATTATATATCTACTTTTCTTTCACAAATCCCTCATTAAAATTTTTTGTGTATTTTCTTAAAATTATTCTTTTTTGGCCACAAGAATTTATCACGTCAAATCAATTTTTTTTCCCTGAAGAAAACGATATACGGGAATAAATTAAATAAAAAATAAAAAATCGTGACAAGCGAAACCCCTGCGTAGATATTATATTATACGCCCACAAGTACAAATTGATAAAATCGAGGCCCACCGTCTTTGATATTGGCATGTTAGGTTAGGCCCATACTGTGGACGACACGTGACCTCCATGTGATGTTTACCTTGCTCGTTCAAACACCAATCATGCTCGCCATGATCAATCTAGGTTTGCGATTTAATGCGAAGCGAGCTCGCGGCTAAAATATCGGGGGCCTAAAAATGCCAAGAGGAAGAAGGAAGAAGAAGAGGGAAGAAGAAGGAGGGAAGGAGGAAAACGCCGAATAAATCTCCATGGAAACCATTTCAAATCTAAATCTGAATTTATCTTTAAAATATTATTACTTCCGATTGAGAACTCATTTGTAAACTACAAACATAATATTATAATTAGAACAGGAGGTAATAAATTGTGTCTAAGAAAATTATTTTTTTAAGCTCTATGAGATTTGAGATTCTAATAACATGAGAAATCAAGCACCATGCTTTTACATACTTTTTATTTATTTATTTATTTTAATAAAATATGGATATCCTTTTATTAAAAGCAATCATATTTGAGATACTGTCAAGCACTAAATATAGGTATCTTTTCTAACGGGAATTCAAATCTTAATTTGTCACGTTGTGAGGAACTAACAACTTTCGTTAAACCCAATTCCTGTTGGTTTATTTATTTTCAATTGATCTCTTAAGTTTCAGATACAAATAATAAGGATTACGACGACTCTAACAGCCTCAAATATTTTTTCGGATACATCTGTGTTTCGCGGCCTAAAATATTTTGTGATATATACAACACTCTTAAAGTATTTTTTTCTTGCCTTGGTGTTGGACTAAAAAAAATTTACGGTGCTAATACATCTAAAAAAATACTATAAAGTACTAAATGCTTCAAAAAAATTTCAAAGTATTAGACACACTTGAAAATTTTTTCAGGAAATTAGATGTATTACAAAATACTTTAAGATATTCAATGTGCTGGAAAAAATACTTTAAAGTATTATATGCATTTTAATCTTGGATAATAAAATAAAATAAAATTTTTACACGTATTTCTCATTAAAAGTAATGATCCAAAATTTTAACATAATAAGGTCCACTGCTATTTATCGTGATGGGCATTCAAGTAACCCGTGAAAAAATATTTTAATATTTATTAAGTTTATTTGATATTATTAGATTAGGTTTGATTATTCACATTTAATTAATAACAAATCTCTTAAAGTGGTTTTATTTTGCCTACATGAGACGAACTCTCAGACAAATGTAAAAGACAAACACGTTCCCTTCACCGAACTAGCTTCACCCAATTACTATTGATCATGGTGAGCTTATTTTTATTATTACTGTGTGGGGCATACAATTTTTTAATAATGCTAGTAATATTAAATAAAGAGTACTTGCAGTAATTTTTATATAATATCTATGGAGACCACAAAATTTTTACAGTAATTTTAGATTATTTTTATTTGTATAATAATGATTATTAGAATGTCATGGCATGACGAGAGCGTGCTGAGGAATATTTCGAATCAATTAAGAATCAAAGAGAAAAAATTAAAACGCATGCAAAGCAGGGCGCTCTGTATAATATGCAATCATGCATTATTAACAGACAAATTATTAGTGTTAATGAAAGATTAATAGGAGACGGTAATCTGAGGAGCCAGGTGGCACATGGAGGATCATATGCTTTGTCAGGTGGGTCCCATTTGAAAATTTTAAAAAATAGATCTGAGAATTAAGGGGTGTTTGGATAGAAAACAAACCATGGTTTCAGAAGTGCTTTTACGGATTACGAAGTAAATATGTGGAGGAGATTACCTCGTTTTGCGGAAAAATGCTTCTGAAACCATGGTTTTGGGTTTCCCAAACACCCCTTTAGTGAGAATCCCTCCACTGTCTCTCTCTCTCTCTCTCTCGCGCTGGTTTCCTGTCTGCTTCCCAATTACCCCGTAAAATGATAAAATGATAAAATATACCAGCAATCATTGGGACACACAGTGCCTTTGAGACCGTACGAATTACCCATTTTGGCCTCCTTCAATTAAATAGCCTCCCAGACGCAAGTTGCAAACTTTGAAAATTTTGAGAAAGTGAAAGGTTAAATTAGTCCACTACGATATGCCAGTCATGAAAGGCGACTGAAAAATAAAATAGCGGATGAAATGAAAATTTATGTTCATGACTAAATACCTTAATATTCAGAGCCATAGAGCCAAGGTCAAAAAAAAAAAAAAACCATAGAGCTAAATATATTTGGGAATATGCAGTTGATGTCGGTTTTTTTGAATGGGTATGATATTCAGTTTGTTTTTTGAAATTTTAATTTTTATACATTTTGAATCAACCCTTACTAGCTTTCAAGTGGCTGAAACTCACCAATATTTATTGCGTCAATTAGATTTATAAAACTCATTCATTTTTAATTTTTATTCTACCTTTTTTCCTTTTTATTTTTCCTATCATTTTCCCTTCTCGACATTAATTAGCTAATGCTTCCCATTTTACTTTGTTGTCTCATGCTCGATAATTTTATCGTTCCCAGCTATTTTAAACATGCACCCGATTTTTTTTCCAAATAATGCTGAATTCATCATAATCAAATCTTTGGCTAATATTTTTCCACACCCCACACAAAATCACCGGAGATTTTTTCACGTCCCTCCACATGGTATGTTTGAGAAACATGAAGACGGGATGAGATTCAAATAAATGAATTCCTTCCACCTCACATCATATTTCCATCTGTCCCTTTTATTGAAAAGAACCGTCTCCCGGTTTTTCACGCAGCCCTTTTTCTTGAACTTGCAAGAAGCCTTCACCAAACTCTCAGCTGCTCCCAATTTACTATGTGCATCTTTTATATACTCTTTCGTTTATAATATAATTCTTTCTTTTTTGTCTACATATAAATTAAGCTTATAATATCTAGGGTATTGAATATTTACTTTTTTATTTTATAATTTTTTATCCACGTGAACTGATTAAATAGTCAGATTTATATTGTGAATTGGAGGAATGCATATACATAGATTCACACATATGATATATTTTTATAAGTCTTAAATTCTATTGATCAAAAGTAGAAACAAATTTAAGCGTCAGTGGACTTTAAATTATTTCCTCCGTCTGTATTCATTTTTTTATTCAAAATTTCATTTCCTCCATTGCTAACAAAAATGAAAATAAGTAATAATTAATTTTTTTTACTTTTTTTATCTTACAATGTCTCTTTATTAAAATTTTAGAACTCTACTTGTTTATGTTTTTTTAAAATCAAATTTATTAAAATTTTTGTTCTTTAAATTTTTCTCATATCAAATATAAGGTTAACCATATTCTATATTTTAAACTTTTTTGCTTTAAAGTATAATTATTACTACATCTAGTTCTTAATATAAAAGTTAATTTAATTTTTAATTTAGTTTTAAATATAAAATCTTAATTCATTTTATCTATCACATTTATTCATTTTTTTGAGATAATTATTATAATAATTGCATATGTTAAATATTTCATCAAATGACACTTGATTGTTAGAATATTTTAAAAAAATAACACTTATTTATTATAAATAATTAATTTAAATAATTTTTTAAATCTATTTGAATTCACTAATTAATTTTTATATTAAGTATTTCAGTTAACCAGTTTTTATATTAAACAGCAGAGGCGGTATTTTTTTTTTTCCTGGGGTAGTTAAGGGTGCAGCTTTAAACGGAGGACAAAACTGAAAAAGAAGAATTAACTTTTACATATTATATAGATATCACTTTACCAACTACTAGGCTTTTCTTCTTTTTTTTTTGGTCGAAGACCCTCCACTAGTGTTGAAATGCTTAGTTTTTAGATAAAACAATTAACAATATGTATAATACTTGTTTTGATATGAAAACATTTATAATACGGTATAAATGTAATTTACTTTTGGATAAATTGTGAATTATAAATCTCAACGGTTAATTGAGGTTAAAACCTTGAGAGCTTAATAACACTACATCGATTGTTTAATACAAGACCTTCTTGACTTAGTTTAACTAAATTAAGCAAGTTTATTAAATTAGTTATTTATAATAAATATGGGTTATCTTTTCTAAAATAATTATGTGTATTAGTTAAAACTACCATTTGATAAAATTTTTAACACGTGTGACTAATATAAAGATTATTTTAAAAAAGATGAATAAATACAAAACAAAATAAATTTAAGTCTTATATTTAAAATTAAATTAAAAGTTAAACTAGTTTTTGTTTATAAGTGATACTACCTCCGGTCCTAATTATAAGACCCGGTTAACTAATTTGAGGAGATTAAGGAAGTAAGTTAAGTTAGTTATTTGTAATAAATAAGTGTTGTTATTCCTAAAATATCCTTGCTAATTAAGTGTATTGGCTAGAACTATCATTATTAGAAGGACTATCTTGGAAAAAAATACATAAATATGAGAGACAAAATGGATTGGGGTGTTATAATTAGGATCAAACAAAAAGTCAAACGGGATCTTATATTAAGTACCGAGGTAGTATTTGTTGGGAATAAAATAAAAATTATTGGTTTAATTATTAAAAGGGTTCCAGAATCCACAGCTTTCCTAGTCCCCACTTTCTGGTAAATACTAGGTGGAAAATGATCACTGATACTGCAATTTTCAATTGGGAGGCTATAGAAACTGATGGTGATATAGGGGAGAATCGAGGGGGAGATATATGTGTATGTGTGTATATATAAAATGTACCCACTCTCTTACTTCGTGATCTGCCAGACTCCTTCAGTTCCTGATCTGGAGCTCTTTTTGTCCTTTTGCGCAGATTCGACCTCTTCAGCAGCAGCAGTAGCCACCAGCCAGTTCATGCTTCTTCATCATGAATCTTCATTCTTTTTAATCTGTAAATTTAATTTGATATCCAAGCAAGAGCTCTACTTAGGAAGTTCTTTAGTTCAATCTTCTAATCCAAGCATCCAATCTCCTTTTCTTTTCATCTCTTTACAGACGAAATTGCAGTGTAAGCCATCGATATTCTCAGGTATGCTCCTTTTCGTTAGTTGTACTGTTTAAACACGAGCACAGAATTCATGTTTGTGCCGGTGACCATCAGTATCTGCTTATGAAAATTTGATGATATTCCGAGCTTAACCTCATCACCGCGTTCCGTTTGTCGAAATTCGAGGGGTTAACTTCTGTTCTCTTTTGGTGTGGAAGTGGGAGTGCTTGAGTTGTTGATTCGGATTCTTCGTATTTTCTTAGCAGGTTACTTTACAGGACGCTGCAAACTTAAATTCATCTGTGACTGGAAATGAAGGGAGGAGCCGTGCTAGTGGCTATTGCAGCTTCTATCGGTAATTTTCTGCAAGGATGGGATAATGCTACTATTGCTGGTATTGATTCCTTTTTGCTTCCCTTCAACATCTCCATCTTTTGAATTTCTTTACTAACAATACTTAAAAAGGCAGCTTAACTGCTTAACAAGTGGGCAAGAATTTTACCAACACAAGCTACTTTAGAATCGAAGGAGCAGCCACGTGTACAACAACAAATTTCGATGCCTTACTAAGACGAATATCCCTTATTACGAAAACATGTAGTATAAAAGCGAAGCCTAATATTTCAGCGCTAAAGCAGAAAAATTTCTCGGAAGCTGCAGCTCTGCGTCTGACTGCCTCCCTTTAGCCATGATGCCGCTCAGCCTTCACCTGAATGTTTTCTCTCTTTTCATATATAGCGCAAATAAATGTAAATCAAGCCAATCCGAGCATAGTTACAACTAGTTACTTCTTCTTAAGTAGACAGTGTCTGGCACATGAGGGAGAGCTGGCATCCTGCAACAAATTTATTGGATAATGCTCCAGATTAATGCTTTCTCCTATCCAAACATTGCTGGTTTTAAAATCACCAGTGGCAACGTTCCCTTTTTTATTCTGTTGAATAGCGACCATCCCTTTTAAGTGTACGAAACATATAAGTAAGCTCTGTTCTGAATATCACTCATTTAGGAGAACGAGCTTTTGCCAAGTGATCAAATATTTTGCTGCTAAAAATTCGAATGGTCTGAAAGCAATTAGGTGTAGATCTTTAACATACAGGATGTAGGATTGAACTGGTTTATTTTGCTTGTATTTCTCCTGAGGTACATGATCTATCATGGAACAATTCCGTTCTCTCTGGTTAATTGTGCAAGATTTTTTTGGCCAGTAGCGTAAACCACTGTAATTATAAACAAGTGATGAGGTTGGCTGGCTCTAGATAGAGTTATCAATCTCAATGATCGACTTCTTAACGAGCTACTTGCACTTTTCTTTGCTTTCAGGTGCCATTGTTTACATTAAGAAGGATCTTGTTTTGCAATCAACTGTTGAAGGACTTGTGGTAGCCATGTCCCTCATTGGAGCAACATTGATTACAACCTGCTCAGGTTCCATATCAGATTGGCTTGGTCGGCGTCCAATGTTGATAATATCATCTACGCTTTACTTTTTCAGTGGTTTGGTGATGTTATGGTCCCCAAATGTGTATGTGTTATGTATAGCTAGGCTACTAGATGGATTTGGTATCGGTCTTGCTGTTACTCTTGTGCCAGTCTACATATCTGAGACCGCTCCATCTGATATAAGGGGATCTTTAAATACACTTCCACAGTTCAGTGGTTCAGGAGGCATGTTTGTCTCATATTGCATGGTTTTTGGCATGTCATTGACAACCTCTCCTAGCTGGAGATTAATGCTCGGGGTTCTTTCTATTCCCTCCCTCATCTATTTTGTATTAACAGTATTTTTCTTGCCTGAGTCTCCTCGGTGGCTAGTGAGTAAAGGAAAGATGGTCGAGGCCAAAAGGGTTCTTCAGAGATTACGGGGCAGGGAAGATGTTTCAGGTATGTTTGTACCTCTACATATGGCCATAGATTGTTTTCTATAGGTTTGGGAGAAGCTTACTTCATTTCGGACAGTGTAAACTTGTAATCATTATCATGACATTCTTGAATCATTTTGGATCATAGACGTGTCAGGAGATGTTTTCATTTCTTCAAAAATTAATTTATATGTTTCTTTTAATTTATATTTTTTCCCTTCCCATCTGATGATGGCGAAATAAATCACAACTTTATTTCCTGTGTCATGTGAGCTCCGCTTTTGAGGCCATAATTCTTATATTAGCCTTTTGCCCATGATTATATGAAGTAAATGGGCTTGGTTTCCTGAAATTGTGGGTTAGTCATAGATGGGGTTCCATTTGAAGGCTTTTGGCCCATTTTGACATGTAAGAAACCCACTAAATAAGACAGCATTTCTGTTTTTACTGAAACTATAAATTCACAACACAATAGCTCTTCTTATATGGGCAAGACTTCAGACATGAAGTATACGAATGTGGTAATGTCGCTGTAGAGTAAGGTGATCAATACAACCGCAAGATTGCTTGTGATTTTTAATTTCTAACTTCACGTGAATTTTTTGTACGTTTTGATAAAATCAAATATTATCTGCTGTAAATCCTTAATTTTCCTCTGTGATTTCATTGCATATCCAATGTCTATTTTCACATATCATCTTTACTTCTTTTTAATTATGATAGTTTCTTTGAGGGATTTATCAGATCCTGCATAATCATAATTTACCGGCAGGTGAGATGGCATTGCTGGTGGAAGGTCTTGGCGTTGGAGGAGAAACAAGCATAGAAGAGTATATTATAGGCCCTGCTGATGAAGTGGCTAATGGCATTGAACCAACAGCAGATAAAGATAAAATCCGGTTGTATGGATCTGAAGCAGGCCTCTCTTGGGTTGCAAAACCTGTCATGGGAAACAGTTCTCTCGGTTTGGCATCCCGTCAGGGAAGCCTTGCCAACCGAAGCATGCCTCTCATGGACCCTCTTGTGACTCTCTTTGGCAGTGTACATGAGAAGCTCCCTGAGACAGGAAGCATGCTTTTACCAAATTTTGGAAGCATGTTCAGCACAGCTGGGCCTCAAATCAAAGACGAACAATGGGATGAGGAGAGCCTTCAAAGAGAAGGTGAAGACTATGCCTCAGATGCTGCTGGGGACTCTGATGACAATTTGCATAGCCCTCTAATCTCACGTCAAACGACAAGTATGGAAAAGGAGATGCCACCTCCTCCTTCTCATGGCAGCATTATGAGCAGCATGAGGCGTCACAGTAGCCTCATGCAAGGATCAAGTGAGGCAGTTGGTAGTACAGGCATTGGTGGTGGCTGGCAGCTCGCATGGAAATGGTCCGAGAAAGAAGGTGAAGATGGTAAAAAACAAGGAGGATTTAAAAGGATTTATTTGCACCAAGAGGGAACTCCCGGATCTCGACGTGGATCCCTTGCATCAGTTCCTGGTGGGGATGCTCTTGGTGAAGGTGAATTTATCCAGGCTGCTGCCTTGGTTAGTCAGCCTGCTCTTTACTCCAGGGAACTTCTTGATCAGCATACAGTTGGGCCTGCTATGGTTCACCCATCTAAGACTGCTTCAGTGGGACCAATATGGAAAGCTCTGCTTGAACCAGGGGTTAAGCATGCATTGTTTGTTGGTGTTGGAATTCAACTACTTCAGCAGGTAATATGTGGTTGCAATAAATGAGCTTTTAACCCATGATCTTGTTGTTTGGAACTTGAAAGCCTGTTTGTTCAGTTTTGCATAATCCAAGGTAAAAATCAAAAAGGTTTGCATAGTCATATTCTTCCAGTCCGAATTTCTTTCTTTCTTTCTTTCTTTTTTTTTTGTTGGCCAGATTCCGGTCCGAATTTCTACTTTGTCTTTTATGTACACAGCATCTTTTCTATTGGTTTATGCCATCCGATCACTGACTAACATCTAATTCTAAATATTTTAATACAGTTTTCAGGAATAAATGGGGTTCTATACTACACTCCCCAAATCCTTGAGGAGGCAGGTGTTGAAGTTCTTCTCGAAAATTTAGGCCTTGGCACGACATCTGCATCATTTCTTATTAGTGCGTTCACAACCTTGTTAATGCTTCCTTGTATTGGTTTAGCCATGAGGCTCATGGATATATCAGGCAGAAGGTATGCTCTTATTCTCCTTCTGGTCTACCTGCTTATTTTTCTTGGAAATGCTTCTGATAGAGCCCAACAGATTAGCATTAGCCTATTAGAAAGGTAGAACCCATAGACTGATAAGTCCCCTAGGCATCCCATACCATTCAATCCAGTACTCAAAAGAATCCTAACAGAGTCCTACCTTTCCCAACTGGCATTATGATGGTAGAAAAGATTCTCTCCCAAAAGACGAACTTGTGAGGAAGCTAGAATCTTTAAACATATAAACCTATCCAGGCACCGTATACACGAAGGACACAATAATAATATCCAAACAGATACATTTTTTTAAAAAAGTTTCTTTTGTGTGTGTGTGTGTTGGTTGTATACTTGATTTGTGATTTATTGGGAATAAGTAACTTACTTGGTTAATGCAGGCAATTACTACTCAGCACACTTCCTGTGCTGATAGTGTCACTCATTATTTTAGTGATTGGAAACATAGCGGACTTTGGGAATGTGGTGCATGCAGTAATATCAACTGCATGCGTTGTAATATATTTCTGCTGCTTTGTGATGGCCTATGGACCAATTCCAAACATACTTTGCTCAGAGATTTTCCCTACAAGGGTCCGTGGGCTCTGTATTGCCATATGTGCCTTGGTGTTCTGGATTGGAGACATCATCGTCACTTACACACTGCCTGTGATGCTTAGTTCCATTGGACTCGCTGGTGCTTTTGGAATTTATGCTGCTGTGTGCTGCATCTCATGGGTATTTGTGTACTTGAAGGTTCCAGAAACCAAGGGTATGCCCCTTGAAGTCATCACTGAATTCTTTGCTGTTGGTGCAAAACAAGCTGCTTCTACCAAGAACGAGTGATACAACCACTAGGTGTTATATATACTCTCCAATGTTAGTTCCTGTCTTTCGTCTTTGAACATTTGTGCTAGTTAGCAGCATCCCCCTAATGGACGAAGTAGAACATGTGTTGTTCTTTCATACGAAATTTTGCATTTTAGATATGAAACTTGGAATATCTTTAGTCGAAAGACTTTAAAAACTCAAAGAAATGTCCCATTATGATGGCGCTATTTTTTCTTCGAATGCCGTATTAATACACACATCCAACTTTTAAACTTTTCATGGACTACTGGCCAAAAAATTTACAACAAGGCGTGTAAGATTGTGAGAATAAGAACAATATTGACATGAAAAGATGGCGAGGGATGACCGATGGTTTATTAAGTACTGGCGTTTCTTCCTCAACGATTTTTTAATTAAATCTTTTAATTCCGCTTTAAAGGAAAACGTAAGAAACAATCACTTTCTTCATATTTTGTATAAGGGGGTGTTTGTATGAAACCAAATCATGGTTTGGAGAATAGCTTCTAGAGAATAGATTTGGAAATAATAGATTTTGTGAAAAAGTAATTTTGATAAAGTGAGAGTGTTTGGATAGTTGTTATTAGAATCACTTTTTATATGTGCAAATTACTAAAAAAGGTATAAGTTAATATGATAATTACATTACAAAAATTTTATCATATATTTTAATTTGAAGAAATAAAATTGTAAATAATATATTTTTACTAGCATAATTAATAATATATTAGATAATGTAATTAATAAATAATTAATATGTGTATATATATTTGATTTTCTCGGTTGAACAATCTAATCCTGGCGGAAAGGAAAAATGATAACATTTGCTAAGAAAGCCGTGAAAACTAAATGATATTACCTTTTTTTTTTTAGGTCAAAGGGAAAACTAAATGATATTATATTTAGAAAATTGGTTTAGCTTCATTAGCGTTCCAGCAAGAAACGAAACTCCCGAAGTCCAAGCAATCGACAGGCCAACAGGCGTGAAATAATTTTTGTGGGTATTTTTGCCAAATAAATGGTTGGCAGCTTCTGACATTCCTAATTATCACTCACATGACTCATTTTCAAGTCCCAGGGGCGAAAAATTCTCACTTTTCAGTAAACCATGGTTTCATTGGCCAAAACCAAGGTTTTTCCTCAAACTAAGGTTTTGATAAAAATGAGACTGTTTGGATATCACCTGGTCTAAACCATGGTTTTGACTCTCAAATTATGGTTTTGAATGATATCCAAACAGGTCCTAAATTAGATAGCCGGATTGACTCAATTAACTCCCCCCCCAAAAAAAGGGACAATGAACAAAAAAAAACTAAAATTTTGTAAATGTCAAACAAGGAATTTCAACAAAAATTTATTGTCATTTATAAATTCAGACTTGTCAATACCAAATAAAATTGTGTTACCAAACCTGATTTGGGATTTGTAATTTCCAACTTTTTTTATCATTCTCTCCAAAAAAAAAAACAGAAAAAAATGTATATCAAGTCAAAATAAACTCCTAATTCCTAAATCCAAAACCGAAAGCAGAACTCTCCAAACTAAAACGAATGCCATTTTTTATTAATTTTAGTTACCCACGTTTTCCCCTCTTATTCCTTACCCACAAGAAAGCCTTTTTCATACTTTTTAAATTTCAAACAAACAGTAATCAGTAGTGACGGTACTGAGTACACGGAATTTAAACAGATGACGTAAAAATGAAATTGTGCTGTCAAAAAATAGGAGTTCAAGTATAATACTCTTCCAGTCTTTTATATAAAACCTATTTAACTAATTTGATTATATTAAAAAAGTTAAGTAAATCAGTTAGTTAGTTATAAGAAATATGACATGTTTTTTTCTAAAATACCATAATCATCTTTCTTAATATTCTCCCTTACTTACTTAATTATAGTTGAAGGAGTATCTATAAGGATAATTTAAAAAAATTAATAAATATGAAAAATATATCTAGAATCAAAACTAATTTAACAATTAGGTTTTATGTTAGAGACCGGAAGAGTATTTGATATAGTGAGCCTAACCCACATCCATGCGAATATATTCTACCTTGTGAACATGTTTGAGGAATCGTTAGCGTCTATGTGTGAAAATGTGTTCAGTCAATCATTCGATCGCCCGACCGCATAAACGCGAGCACCATCAAAACTCATGTCAGGATGAATAAAGCATATTCCAGAATCCAAATCAAACTTTCATCACCATTGCAATAAAGCAAATTCCAAAACCTCTGCCCACCGTTGGTTTTTCAATCAATTTTGTTAGTGGTGAGGATGGAACAAGTGCAGAAGTTGGGAGCTGAGTGCACATGCAGTATTTAGTATGTACAGTCATCGCCTATACAAATCGCAACTTTTGAGGCTACCAGATCAACAGGGCAAAATTTCGGAGCAAATTCAAATCTACACTTATGTTAAAGTGGAGATTCACTAATTCCCTCAAAGCAGCTTTACCTTGAGCATTTCTGGCAGATGAGCGGTATGCTAACTAAGGACCCGCGTTTTCCTCAGATGCTGATGGACTTTCAACTTTATCTGGGTCACTCACCTGATTGTTAATGGAAGTCTTCTCTGCTTGGCCATTTGATTTGACGTGGGACTTCAAAGGTCTATCAAAATCTTGACCATTGGTAGGATCTATCATCAACCTGTTGAGTGTTTGCTCCTGCAAAATGGGAAAAAATGTTACAAACGAGACACAAACATTTCAAGAAATAAGAAAAATGAAAACTTACAAGACAAAAAGCCTGCCAATTTGCAGAAATCAAGTATTTTTGTCACGTAACCAAAATATAATACGGCATGTAAAGACATATGACATGCCTAGTCTATAAATAAATTCAAGAGAGCAGCTCCATGCCTCATACAAATGAATTAATGTTGGGAGAGAAACCAAAACACGCTAACTTTTTGGCTGGTTAACGAAGTCACCATCCTGGGTTCATAGCTCAAATGGATTTCAAGACTCTGATATAGTGAACTGTAGCTGCAAGTAGTTTTTCCTCCCAAGAGACTGAAAAGTTAATTTTCAAAAGTTATAACTTGGGATAGATAGCCCTATGTTGTTTCCTATGCAACAACCATCACCTTGGTATTTACTGGAAGGCATCTTGAAGTACTCATATACAAACTCTTACTGCAAAGACTCATGCTCTAGTATTGATAATCCAAAATCAGGAAACCTATGCGTTTGCTTGGTTCAGTAATCATAGTAATAGGGTAATTAAAGTGAGCATTCAATACCGGTGGAATTGCCGTTGGATGTCGAAAAATGAAAACCAAGTATTTCTTCCCTAGAAAACTATCTGGCTCCTCGTGTCTGTGTAGTAATTTAGTGAATGCTTACACTTTCAAGGGCTTCGAGCTTTCTGTGGAGGGCTTCATGCTCTGCTTGGATACGCAAAGGAACTCCATGCTTTTGATAGACATTGTTTTGCGCGAAGTTCTCATCGATGTCAGCAGCAGTAGTTGCAAAAGGATGATTGGCGGGAATCCACCTGATAGAGTCAGGATCAACATCGGGAGGTAGAGAGTCTCCTTCTTTAAGAAACATAGTTGGCCGCTTCCACCGGTAGGCCCGTGATCTCCTTCTCTGGTGGATGGCTTGCTGCTCTTCAGTAAGAGTCACTGGGGCCAAGCGGTAAAGCTTTCCACACATCTCAACGGTTGATTTGCCTTTGCTAACCTTTACTAGGGGGTTATTGAATGGGTCTTCATACTTGAGAGGCCTTGATCTGAATGATTTTGATTTTTGAAGCATCCATCAAATATAATGATAAACGATAATGAATGTTTTATTAACAAGATTAAAGGCAAAAGGGTAATAGAATCATACATGCCTCTTGAATCGTATCTAAGCTGGCCACGTCTCACGAGATCAGCGACGGAACCAGGACGCTTGTATCTCGACTTCCTCACCGCAAACGCTCGGACGGCCGTAACCAAAACAACAATGGCAACACATAACAAATCCAAAACTTGCTTGGAGTTGAATTCGTCTGTTCAAAAATGGAATTTGTTTGAGAAGCATAAGTTACCAACTATCAAGCAACAATTAATCAACACAAGGCTTAGCATTATAGCATACCAGGAGGGAAGGGGAGATCTAACAAGCTCATGAATTTTGGCAAAGCAACTATGAGTTACATAATAATGTTGTTCCCTAGGCTCTCTACCGGAAATCGCAGTAGCGTCCGATAATTTAGGTTTCAACCAGAGGTGTCGTCGCTCGCGTCGCAGCAAAAGGACATCTCATTTCTCCGCCGGACTTTGGAAAAACGACGGCCGGAGGAGGAGCTGGAGACGAAGTTGTGGAGGCAGCTCTTAGCCTATGTTTGAATTGAGGTCAATAGTGATATACACAATTGTGAAACTCTGACAAACACATAGTCGCTAAGTCTGAACAAATCAAGACCAGACTACTTACCTCGACAGAAATCCATTCAAACCTCAATCCCCAAAATGTTGTCGACCCCATTTCCAGGAGCTCGAGTCGAGGAGGGCTCTGGTTCTCAAACTGTTTCCCGAAGCTGCTTTCTGCTAACTCTGCAGTGTTCTTCCTAGTTCCAACTTAAAATCACCCCGCGAGTTCATGAAATATTTATTTAAGATAATTAATTGGTAAAATTGTTGAAAAATCGTCATTGAAAATTTAATTAGTCAAAAAACCTAAAAAAAAATTTATACAGATCTTATTGATGCTCATTTAGGTCCTTAGTGATTAAATTTTTAATAGAGGAGTTTTCTCGAATAAATTATATGATTTATATTTTATAATTTATGAACAACGTAAATTTTATATGGTCCGAGACATAACGCAATGGTAAGTTGGTAACCGGAAAGCGTGTCTATCTTGTTGACAAAATTTGCACATCTCGTGTTTCATTTGTACAAAATCACAGGGCAGAGGTGGTGGAAGCGCCAGTGATGGAAACTCATTAAAAGAAGATACGAATTGTGATAAATTTTATTTTATAGGCTCAAATACCTGAAATGAAAATTACATTTTAATCGAATAAAATATACAAGATACAAGCACAGCAACTCGCACAGCTAATTTTATTTAATTCTTACTCAATAATTAGCTGATAAAATAAATTATAAAACACACACACACACATGCACCCACTTAAGCGGGTGAATAAAGATGAAGAGGAAGCCTGGGCTCAAGCACTGCTTCAAGAGGCAACTTCTTGGCGATGGAAAGCCCACCAGTCTCCTCCATATTCAAGTCCTGCTCCTTCACAGTCCCAGGAAGCTTCCAATTGAACCCATGAACCAGATTCGCCACACTGGACAGAATCACCTTAAGCCAAGAGGGTAGCCAGGGCACATCCTTCTTCCCGCACCAAATGGCAACAGCTCAAAGTCATGACCGTGCACATCAATATCCTTAGTTGGGCCACCAATGATCTCGGGCTCAAACTCGTTGGGCCTGACCCAAACTGTAGGGTCCCTCCCTATGGCCCATACATTCAGAGCCACTTGGGTCCCTTTGGGAATGTCATAGCCCTCAATTTTACAGTCCTCTCGGGATTCCCTCGGAATCAGTGTTGGTAAAGCAGGATGTAGCCTCATTGTTTCTTTAACGATTGCTTTAATGTAAGGTAACTGAACCATGTCTTGTTCTTCAAAACCCATCTGTTTGTCCCTACTACTTTGTCTAGCTCTTCTTGTGCCTTCTTCAAGACTCGTGGCTTTTTAAGAAGCTCTGACATGGCCCATTCCACTGTTATAGCAGAGCTCTGCGTTCCACCTATGAGAAGATCCTGTGGGCATATATGTGTACGTGCATAAGAAAGCAACACTCTTACCAGGGAAATGCAGTAAAAGAAAATTTTTTTAATAAGTTTAATTTAAAAAATTAGAGAAATAGGGATAAAATCTTTAAATTAATTTTGCTGGCTCTTTTATCTTAGATATTCTTTTTGTCAAAATTTTATAACTGTACTTTCTTAATTTTTTAGATCGAACTCGTTAAAATTGTCTTCCTCTCCTATATTAGAAATAATACTTCCAAATTTTCTTATAAAAACAACAACTTTTTTTTAACTGTTTTTCTCAATGTGTTGTGTGTGTGAGAGAGAGAGAGGTAGTTCATGTAAAAACATCCAGCTAGTTCATGTGAAAACGTAAGTGTGCTTGCCTGAGTAATGGCTTTGACATTATGCCTCTGAAGCTTGAGCTCGCGAGTGGGATTATCTGCAGCTTGCAAAAGGAGATCCACCATATCATTGGCAACGTAATCCTTAAACCCTTTTCTTCTCTCTCACCGTGTTCATTCAATACGTGTTCCCAAAACCTGTCGAATTTCTTACTCACGACCTTCATCCTCTGACGTATCCCTGCAAGTCCAAGAATTGAAGCCAGGGAATGAAATCCCCAATATTCAGAAAACCACTGTTCAGTAACAGAAACTCGTCCAGCATCCACCTGAACTCGTCCGGCGTAATGATAGCATTTTCGGTTTTCTTAACGTATGTCTTCCCCAAAACCATGCGACTTATGATGTTGAGGTTGAAAACGTTGAGGTACTCCTTTAAGAATATGGTTTTGCTAGAAGAACTGTAAAGTTCATTCGCCATAATTCTGATCTCTTCCTTTCTGATATACTCATAGGAACCCAAGCTTTTGGGAGAGAAGAGTTCCGTTAAACAAACCTTGCGGACTTGGCGCCAGTATGGGGAGTAGGGGGGCCCAGACTATGTTGCAGTGGCCGAAACCTGTGTACTTACCGGCGGCGGTTCTCGGCCGCGATGCTAAGGAGCCATCGTGGATTTTCAGAAAGGCCTTGGCCATTTTCACCGAGGAGCCGACGACGACGGACTTGGAGCCTAACCAGATGTGCATGATGGGTCCGTACTTCTGGGAGAGAACATGGAGGGACCTGTGAGATTGTGGGCCTATGTGGTCGAGGTTTCCAATGACGGGCCATGCTCTAGGGCCTGGAGGTAGATTGGGCCTCGGCCGACCGAGACGGCGGAGCAAGAAGAGGACGAGCAAAGCGGCGACGGCTGAGAACCATGCGCCTGCCACTGGTATTGCCATCTTAGCTGTGGGTTTGTGTTTAGAACTAGTGGAAGCTGGGAAGTTTGCGTTGGCGGGCATTGAACAGGATATTTACAATTTTTTTTCTTCCTTGAATACATTTTTATTTAAGTTTTTTGTTCACCACACATCAGGGGGTTGAAAAGTTAGCGGAAGGCCCGCATTTGGTGCGCCTGACTTGTGAGGGCGATCCCATCACGCACGTTTAAAATATTTTCATCACAGAAAGTATTGCACACTAATTTTCTATACGGCTACTTCAAACTAATTCTCAAATTTAGGACAGATAGCAGTAGATGCATATTATAGAATTTCAATCGCCTTAATATTTATATCAATTTATATTTTATGTATTTAATTTCCCCGGAAACAAAATCTTGGGCCGGCGCATGATGTTAAACAAATACGCAGTCCTTGTCCCCTGGTGACGTACTGCACTGGACCAGATTGATGCTTTTCCTCCCACGTCTCACAAGCGTAGCGTATAGGGGTGAGCAATGGGCGGGCTGGGCTAGCCCAAGGGTTAGCCCATAGCCCGCCCATTTATGAATAAACGGGCATGGGCTAGCCCATAACCCGGTAGTAGCCCGTTTTAAGCCCGTATTAAATGGGTTTGCGGGTAGCCCGTTTGGACTGACCGGGTTATGGGTAACCCATTTATTTTTTTACTTTTTTTTTACAATTTTTTCAGCATAGTGTAATCTTAGTTATATATAAGTAAGTCATAAACAGAATAATAGATCCCAACATTTAAATTTTTTAATGGACGAACTTAATATATGTGGAGGGACTCTTCAGCGTTTGCACATTGTACATCTCTGTTAAAAAAGTCGACTGTGTTTGCGCTGAAATTTTATCTGGTCTTTGAATTATTTTCTTTTTTGGGGTGAGATATTATTGCTTATTTGCTTTATTATTGAGATGTATGAAGAGTGCATATCATGATCTAAATTATTTGCTTCAATAATTTCCTTTACCCGGAAGCCCCAAATTCATCCCGACCAAGATGATTCAAACCCAATAGTCATTATTTGGAACAGCCGAACAGAGAGACAACGAAATGGAGGAACACTGGAACAGAGAGAAGTCAAAAACAAAAATTTACCGAACAAAGAGCTACCAGGCACTAGCGATAGCGACCTTTGCTTCAATCTTCAACATATCGAGGGATGCCGCCACCAGTCCACCACGAGAAGCTGCTGAGAGGCAAGAAGTCGAACTCAAACTCGAAGATGGCAAGACGTAGTACTGGAGCTCCAATGTCGAAGATGAAGATGCAGCAACCCAGCGTCACAGGCTCGCAGATGATTACTGATTCACTGGAGCTCCAATGTCGCAGATGAAGATGCAAAGTCACGGCCTCACTCCCTCGCAGACGAATCGATTACAGTTCACAGACCGCTGGAGCTAGAAGCAAACTGGGCAGCTGGCTTGAAGTCGAATCGCAGAGGAGCTCAGACGCAGACACAGATCGAAGGCGGCGGAGACGTAGTGACGCTGAGAGAGTTGTTCAATGTTCACTGTTCAGTACTTCAGTCGAAACTCGAAAGAGTGGAAGTGCCGAACTGGAGTGGAAACTGGAATGGAAAGAAGCGGATAATGAAAGCTTGTGAAATCGAAATGAAAGGCAGCTGAAGGCTGAAGCTAGGTCTAAACTCTAAAGAATAAAAATATTTTTTTAAAAAAATAAAACTTAAATGGGCTGGTATGGGCAGCCCGAAGCCTTACCCATAGCCCGTCCCGTTTAATGGGCTACCCCGCCCATTTAAGTCAGCCCGTTTATTATATTCTATTTGGGCTAATTGGGCGGGCTTTAATGGGTAAAAAATTATTGGGTTATGGGCGGACTAGCGGGTTATGGGTTATTTGCTCACCCCTAGTAGCGTAGCCACAAGTGGGCACATCTTGCTCAATCTCTCATGGCGCCCACAAGCCCCACGTCAGGCGCGAAAGGCTTGACGTGTGTAACTTCCTTTTCTATCTAGTAAATAATCTTTGTTGTGTGCTCAGGGACAACTCCTGGATCCGTGCGCAATGGTAGCGCGTCTGACTCCAGATCAGAAGTTTGCGT